CCCGTAGGCCCATTAATAGTAGCCAGAGATGAACGGTGCAAATCCATTAAGTGTGTTCTGCAAACGACACTAGCTGCATATAAACAGTTGGTTATTGATTCTGTGTTGTCAGGTTCCTCTTCTATTTACTGCTTCATTACGAGCCCACCGCAGCACCACCACCAGGTTTAACTTGGAGTAAAACCATTGACAAGGAGCATGTTTTTATAAACATTTTTATCATTTAGATTCATAGACATTTATGTTAAGGTGCTCCCATTCAATGTGGGCTATGATGGTTTGAGACTTGTGATCAGACCTGCACAATTAATTGCAATATTATTGAAATCGCAATATGGACAAGTGCAAGTGTGCAAAAACAGCATTATAATAAAGTGGTGTATCAGAGATGTCCTGGTCTACAAATCTTGTTCTCTAGATTAAAAAAACAAGTTGGTTTGGTACTGACCCCCCAAAAAATGTCACATCATCATAGTTTTAAAATCATTTTCAGTGAAAATGTACATTTGTGATACACAAATGAGCATTCCCACACTATTCGTGATCACATTGCATTGGCAATATCAGTAAAAATAATGTCAATATGATGTATCATATCATGCAGGCCTACTTGTGATGACCCCATCTTTTCTTTTAAGATCTGAGAAAAAGTGTGATTTGCAGTTACAAGGGCCAGCTCCACCAAGATGATGTATTTATGGGAAAATATTTATTGATGTGTTCCTCATTAGGTGAAAACTCGTTTGTGAAAACAGCAGAGAACATTGCATTTCAGTAATGGAAACTGCAGACGAGTTAGAAGGTTAGACTTTGTGCTACTTGTTTCTTACTATGTATCACCATTTCCTTGTTTGCCACAAACATTCTCAGCTGCATACAAAAGCCACACTGCATGTGCACTCACACACCAAAAGAGGCTTTTGCTTGATTTAAGTCTGGGGTGTCCAAACTCTGTCCCTGAGAAGGCTAAAACTGAAACTAAATGGGGGCCACAGGGCAGGGGGCAACACCTTCTGTGTTGTGTTGTGTTGTGTTGTGTAGTGTTGTTAATATGGAAAATGGTACTAGAACAGTGGTTCTTAACCTTTTTTCTTATGGGACCCATTTTCTACCGCTGATGTTTTATGTATATTTCATATTATATTCAGAACTGTACAATGAACCCAAACATTATGTTATTTGTTGTTTTTAAATCATTTTTAACAATCGGACATACTTAATAGGCTTCTTTTTTGACAAATTCAGTGTTTCGTCACATAGGTGAACTAAATGCTGAGATACAGGCCTACTGAGTATATTTCTTAAGTGTTCTTACACCCCTTAAAATCAAGAAGGCTTTACAACCCCTCATGAAGCTTTGGCGACCCCTAGTGGGGATTCCGACCCCCAGGTTGGGAACCACTCCATTTAGATTTAGGTTAAATCAACTGGTCATGGTTTTAATTAAGTCATCAGCATTAGTGTAGCAGTAATCTTGGTTTCTCCTCCTCCCTTAGTGACTTGGAGGCTCCACAATGGTGAAAATATTCATCGGGAACCTGTCACCAGACACCACATCAGACGAACTTCGCTCTCTCTTCTCCCAGTATGGCAAGATTGCAGAATGCACCATTGTCAAGAACTTTGGCTTTGTGCACATGGATGACAAAGCAGAGGCAGAAGAAGCCATCCGCAACCTCCACCACTACGAGCTCAATGGCCAGCCCATGAACGTAGAGCTGAGCCGCGGCAAGTCAAGAGGATCCACTAAACTACACGTCGGCAACATCGCCTGCACCAACCAGGAGCTACGGGCCAAGTTTGAAGAGTTCGGTGCCGTGTTGGAGTGCGACATAGTAAAAAACTATGCTTTTGTTCACATGGAGCGAATGGAGGATGCCATGGAGGCCATTAATCAGTTAGACAACACTGCTTTTAAAGGTGAACTCTCGGGCTGGGCTTAATGGGAGTTTACCTCAAATATAGTGTCAAGAGTATTTAATTCTCCTATTGTGAATTAATAGGTAAGTTATGGATACACCACAGGTGAGTACAAAGAGAAAGATGAAGGTATAACGGTAAGCTGAAGAAAGCATGGAAGTCCTGAACCCTTATTATTTTAAAGCTGGTATCCGTAATGTCTTTGGTAATGTCCATCCGTAGGGTGGATTGTTGTAAAACAAAAATGGGCTCCTACTGCAGTTTGATTGACTCATCAGGTCATTTTTCTTACAAATCAACCCCGACTGCTTAGGCCCATCAAGGGTTGGGAAAACACCAAAACGGATGCGTGCGCTGTTCTGTTTATACTCATTTGGTTTTTGCACACACGTTTTTCACGTTTGTTCGCCGGTTATAAGTTTTGAGCTGCCCGGTCCCGCGAACCTTCGGCAACATGGGCATGTGACAAACTTTCTCGTAGTCACACGGACACGCAGAGTATCATTCCATTATCATTTTAGCATTTGCTGATTCCAATAGCAAGCTTGCATACAAACTTCCATGACAACATCTTTTACTGTAGTGTGAACAGCATTTGAGTTGCCTTTTGCCACTGCAGGGGGAAAGTTACGGATTTCAGCTTTAATAACATTTTACTGCTCAAATGTCTTATTGCTATTTTTGGAGTATGATGCAGTTTTTGACCAGACTGGTGGATTAGGAGACTTCTGTATGCCAGGCAGGAAATGTCAAATATATTATTTAGAATAAATGCAGGCATAAGTCCTTATTGAGTCTTTTCTTTTTAAGGCAAACTGATGAGCGTGAAGCTTTCGACTAGCCGCCTGCGTACTGCGCCGGGAATGGGAGACAGATCGGGTTGTTATCGTTGCGGGCAGGAAGGCCACTGGTCCAAAGAATGCCCTCTAGACCAAAATGGCTACCACAGAAACGGCTCAGAGCCAAAGTCTGATGGATACGATGCCTCGAGATTCGGCGGGCGTGGTCGCAGCAGGGGTTATCATCCGGACTTCAGTGGCGATCCAGATTATGGCGGCTATGCTCCTGTACATGGTTTTTCCCGGGGCGCCGGTCACAGCAGCGGCATGGCGGGGTACAGACGGGGCGCAGGCTACGAGAGTGCAATGAGATACGGGCCGCACCCAGGTTACGGCATAAGCGCTGTTGCTGAACATAGCATGGCTCGGATGTACGGCAGCGAGGCGGCATACAGGAGCAACGGCTCACTCTATGGCGCGGTACCAGCCTACCCAATGCGACGGTCGCCTTACGAGGAAAGGGATCCGTACGGGGTCGTGGACTACTACGAGAAGTACAGGGCCAATTCTTACGGAGGCAGTTATTTCGAAGAACGTCGCGCTGTCCCCTTGCCTGCTCCATCAACATCCTCATCTACGGCTTTAATGAGGGAACGTCTTCCCCCCTCTAGCCTCGACCCATACGAGTGCCCCCTTCCTCCTCCACCAGCCCCAGTCTCCTCATACTACGCACGTGACCGGAGTCCGATTCGGAGAGTCCCTGCCGAGGCAGATGGATATGCATATGAGCGTTCGCGCCTTTCCCCGGTGCCCAACCTCCCAAGAAGTTCTACCTATGAGCATCCGCGGGATCCCGGTGCTGAGCGGGCACGATATACATACTAATCCTTGTCCCATACAGCCAGGTGAGAGCTGTCTGACATTTAGTGGATAGGGTAGCCTAAGTGCCATTGGAATCACTGCAAATTAAACAGTATATATCATTGGTAATATTAGAAGCAGAATTCAACCCTGTGTATGTGAGGCGTGTGGGTAGTAACAATAAGGTTACAATAAAGCTTGCCCATCACAAGAGCCAACGGGTAGAGTATGAATGGTTTATTGCATTCACAGTACGTTGTGATCTAATTTTCAGGTTATACTTCAAAATGCAGTACCACTAATGCTCAGTTGACCACCTTTCAGTGTCCCATTTACGTGTTGTGGTGCAGTTCTGAGGTGGCTTAGCCTAAATGTGGAAGTGCAGATGCTGGGTTTATCTCCAACCTGGGTGAGGTCTGTTCATCTTACTGTAAGAACTGAACTTGTGCCCTAATTAAAGTACATACATGTTCATACACTATTTACTCTGTTAATAGAAAAAACTTAATTAGTGCATGTGCATGTCTTTAAAGGTGAGTGTTAGGGTTATGTTGTTTCAATTTAATACATTCTTTTCAGCCACGTCTGATGTATTACTATGTGCATTTTAGCGTATTTGTGTTTGTGTAAGTTCACATTGTTACTGCATATGTGAAGCAATGGCAAAACAAATTTGAATACTGTATGCTCCGTCAACTACGTTGTTTAACTCGTACCAAATATGGATCGGCACAGTGTAAAAAATGGTTACACTTCTGTATTTGGGTTATATCAAACCTTTTGTAAAATTACATTGAAGAACTTTGTATCAAGGTGCATCGTGATCATGTTTTTTTTCCCCTTGTCAATAGACACATTACTTACATTAAATGGATTTTCATTGCTGTGATAAATATAAGGGTTCAAATCTTAAACATATGTTGTAGTTTCATAATGAAAATGACCTCAATTGCCTATGCTGTCTGTCTTGATTTCTAACTATTAGATTAAAATTAAAATCTCTCTGTCTAAAGTCTGAATACTGTGACTTGTGTGTTTGTTGTGCTCACCTGGTATAATGTCAAATGGCATTCACATCAAAGTGCAACAGTCAACCAAAATATCCGCTCAAGGTTGACCACCTTGGGGAAAATTACACCATATGGAAAATTACTTAATTTGACAAAAAAAAAGTTATACAAATTATTTTTTATTACTATTCATTTATTTATAGTTCATATTAAGTGTCATACGATTTCAGTACCGGTTTGTGCTTGTTAGAGATGAGTAGAAATAAATAACGTGATTGATAGTCACATGAGCTAATCAGTTTGCAGAACGAGTATAAGGAAGAAGGAATTGCCCAACAGAACAAGGCCTAAGGGGAGGGGCTTGGTCTGGCCAATAGAAATGCTTTACACTACAGCGGAACGTCACCACCTCCATGGAATCCATCATCCTTTGTGGGTTTCTGTTGAGCGCCATTTTGATTAAAGTAATGTGCAAGGGGGTTGCGGGCTACACTCTACTCTGATATTTTCTCGATTTAAACACATTCATACGTGAGTCGACTGACGCTTGACAGAGACTAAGCCATTTGAGTACACCGAAAATGGCCACGGGAGCAAACGCAACTCCTTTAGGGAAGTTGCACCCCAGTATTGGCGCTAAACGAGGATTTGACGCCGGGCCTGGTGCGGGGAACGGGCTGATGCCAACACCGGGGCCGCCAGCGTCCTTTCCTTCGCTACAAGCTTTCCAACCCCCGATGCCAAATGCATCTTTTCCGCAGCCACACCAGTTCAATCCAGGGACAGGTTTTTCGACGCAGGTTCAACAACAACCACCCGCAGCGACCGGAATGGCCAAACCAGGTAAGTTAACGGGCGTCCGCTACCGTTCACTTGATGCGGCATGAGTTAAGCTAATGTGGCTAATTACCATGGGCCCCACATGAAGACCTGGCACGAAATGGAGACAGCCCAGCTAACGTTAAGCGGGCAAACCAGTGTTGCTCACTATGTTCGCATTAACCGGGGTTAATATATCGTCTATCGTTATAATTTGCAAATATCACAGCCAATAATAAACACTAGCGTAATAATGGCATTTACGTGTAATGTTAGACAGCAGTCAATGCAACGTTAGCTTGCTGTGCCGTGTTGTGTTATTGAGAGATGTAAGTTACCGCTTTATCTAAACCATAACGAGGGCCCCTTGGAATCTGTTTAGTTAGCTATGCTAAACTGTATGGTTCCCATATTCAGTCCAGGGCTGCGGTCGAATAGTCAAAAAATATGGCAACGTTACTTTCCAAAACCCTTTACATTGACCTCTGTGGTAAACGTCATGAGGTCAAGGAAAGATGTTATGGAGAACGGATAAGGGCTTAGGAAAACCCTTAGCAGGATTTTTTTTTAACCTACTTTATTTATAACACGTGGGCGATAAGTACAGTGACAAACTAAAATCAATTCAGGTAAGGTTTCCTGTCCAAAACGGTATCGCATCTTCAAAGAGAGCATGTTTTTAATATACGCATTTGTAGTGCAGGGCATTTCTGCAGCACTACAGTACTTCATTATATTGTTTGTCTTCACGACTTACTTTTATCACTTTTATGCAGCCTCTTCATCACCTCTTCCCATTTCCTATGCCAATAAGCAAGGTCATGTTGAGTGGCGCTTGACTTTATGTTCATCAGTAACATTAATCACAGCTACAGCTAACATGGATAATATCTCCTGTTTCTCAGTAGACTTCGGTCAGAAAAAACAGAGGAAGAAGAGCCGTTGGAGCAGCGAGACGCCTGATCAGAAGACAGTCATACCGGGCATGCCCACTGTCATTCCACCTGGACTGACCCGGGATCAAGAGAGAGCCTATATAGGTAAATTTTTAATAAGCATCTCTTGTTAATTAAGGTTGCTGTGTTAAATTCTAAATGCAGGTTTGTTTTAAAATATGTCTCAACAATTACATCTGCTTGAGGTTCTAGTTTCCTTACATGGTGCATACCAGTATTAATGTTAAACTTATGTCCTGTTGCTGAATTCCCAACAGTTAGAGCTCTCTAAAGGCACCCACAAGACGCGTTACCAACCACAAACCTTCTGTCACATTTCCGCTGTATTCGGCAGTAACGTTACTGTTACACAAAATGGGAAATGTCTAATTTTGCTCCAACTGTTGAGACGAAGCAATCACCTCCGACGAACAATGATTATAACGTGATGATATAAAGTGTTAATTAAGATTATTTCTCTTTAATGGAAGTAAAGTGGTTCTGCCGTGGCAAGTGTTTCTGTGGTCTTATGGTTTGCATACCACTGGGCAGCCATTAGCAAGAGGAGATAGATGATTAAACACCACTGCTTGCTGCTATCTGTTCTGAGCTGCAGGTCACTGCTCACTGTCTTGCTTGATCCCCCTACACATCATCAGTATTGTTCCTGTGCATGGAGACGTTACTCATAATGTCCTAATATGCTAAAGTGTGCTTCTGTTTCTATTGGTCCACGTGTGAGCAATGCTGCTTCAATGGCAAGTCAATTCAACATATGTAAAAGACTCAACAAGCTGACTTAGTGGGCATTGCAAAGTGGGAACACTTGTTAGTGTGCTCTTAGTTAACCCAGTGTGATCATATGAAGCAAATTGTTTTTCAACCACAAATGCCTTCCAGCAGCAGTGTAGCACCAACATCCTGCCTTCACAGGCCCTCAACTGGGTATTCTGAAGCAGACTAGTCCCTTTGTCAATAACTGACATCGTTATTGATGTTGTTCACTCATTGGTAATGGTTGTTGTTCTTTGGTATGTAAACATTCATTTGTGCCCACCTTCCGCTGTCACACTTATCGTTTCCTTTGTTCATTCAGTAGATCCCCTAAAACAATCCAAGGGAAGCGTTTTAAGATGAAATTTCTGTGAACCACAATTCACAGGGCCTGTATTCATCTCTATAACCCAGAGTAATCGTTTCAGTGACCAGTGAATCTCTGTGTTTTGGGGGGGTGTATTTCATTACAACTCTCATAATGTGCATGGAATGACTGATTGATTTATTTTTTCATTGCCTCCTAAATGTAATAATTGTCTCTATCACTGCAGCCCCTCAGTGTTAGATCTGTGGAGTGCAAAAAGTGACTGTGATTACCTTTTATTTTTCTACTGAAACGTGCAAAACAAATAGACCAATCAGTGATTTTTAGACCCGATGTGTCCTTAAAATGCCAGAGCCTTAAACGCAGCGTGCTGCAGTACACGAAGAAAGCCACAACCTGGGTTTCAAATCTCAATAGTTTGGCAGGCATTTTTGGGAATCATGGTCTAGACATTTACTGATATGTTGCCATGTTTAATCATTGTCTGAGAAAAGCTTAGTCCTGTTTCTGCTAATGTAAATGACCTCTAGGACATATTTATATTGGGTAATGTGTTCCTCTGATGTCCTCAGATATGATGCTTTAGAGTCTTACCAGATGTCAATTTGATCTCCCCTTATTCTTTATTTAACAGACTCACCATTTGTCTTGCCTCAGTAATGTATGAGACCGTGCTCTAATGTGCAGAGCGTTGTCTCTCTGATGTTGTTGTGGTAACCACATTTCTCTCCATCCTTGTTTTTCTTTCCTAACCTGAATTCTTCCAGTCCAACTGCAGATTGAAGACCTGACTCGTAAACTGCGTACAGGAGACCTGGGAATCCCTGTTAACCCTGAGGACAGGTCGGAAAAAGATTAAACCCATGAACAGTAACATTTTCTCTACCTTCTTGACTTTTTGGAAGACAAATGTTGATTTTCAGTATATATATGTGGTTGTTAGCCTAAATCTCAGACTGCATAGTAGAATTAGCTGGCAGATGTAGCATTTTAGTTAGCTATCTCCTAGGTGAAGGGCAGTGTTGTTTAACATGTTAGTTTTTGTCAAAGCCTAGTGCTAGAGGAGAACTGATCTACATTCATCTATTTGTAAAGCTCAGAGACTGCTCAGCATTCCACCACCAGTAAGCGTACAGGAATGTACATTTACTGGTACTATTAGCTTTAGCTGTTTTTATATTTATGGTTAGCTTGTTTAGAATTGGTAATAGTAGATTTGTCTAAGTAGGTCTATTAAACTGCTATTTTAGTAATAAAGATAGGGTTAGCTCCATGGTTAAGACTTTAAAAATTTGGACTGTGCAGAAAGTTTCCCCCCATTATTTAAAAAACAAAACAAAACAAAAAACAACAAACAAATTCTCTAGTACAGCTTTAAAGAAAAAATGAAATATATGCATATATTTTTACCCAAGACAATGAGACAGTGTCTGCAATTACATCAAAATGAAACATAAATTGTATTACCCATTTGAAATAAAAAATTAAGTATATTTAACTTACATTGACTAAAATTTTTAACAATGTGCAACAAATTACCTGTGAACACGGTCATTTGACTAAAAAAAATGAAGCAAAAAGATCCCATTTCTGACTTTAAATTTTTTATATATATATTTATTAGGTTTTCGGTCACATCGTCAGGTTGGCATTTTGCCACTCTTTAGGGTTTTCATTTCAGATTCGAAGCTCTTCAGACTGGTTTATTTGGTATAGCGCAATTCACTAACAGGAAGTTATCTCAGGGACACTTTTCAAATAGAGGCAGGTCCTAGGACGAAACTCTTATAACATTTACAGGAGACCAACAGTAGCACCATGAGCCAAGCAGGCTTGTGGCGACGGGGGGCAAGGAAAAACTGCGTTTGACTGTTGGTGGGTTTTTGTTTTTTTTTAGGATCTCTGTTTTCTTATGGTGCAGTTAAAACAATGTTTCAATCTTGGGTAAAATAACACTCCAATAATTTCATTGCAAATGTCCAAACTGTAAGGGGAGCAGGGGGTATGAATGCCTGGGCAACCCACTGTATACAGGTCAGTGTAAGATGAGTTTAGTATTTTAGTCAAGTCACTGCCAGGACAGAGATAACCGCCTTTTGCCTTTTTATTGAATTATTTCTCATTTGACTTGACAGTTAGGTGGAGTCGTTAGCCTGCTAGCATTTATCATCATTGTTTCACCCACTGCTTGTTTTGTGTGTCTGATGTAGAGTGCTGTGTGACTATATGAATACATATACAATGCATAATGTATAAAGATTTTCCTCTGAAACAGGTTTGGGTCAATACACCTTACTCTATGGTCTAAATTACTTTTAGTATTAATTATTTACCAGCTTTAAAGTTGAACTAGTTCAGATGAATTGGCTCTTTTGGAAAAGTTAGATTCACACAGTCCCATCAATTGATATTGCCTTGCCTGACTTTTTTTACTTACTGGATGTTCTCTAACTTTTTGCCAGTGATGTTTGAGCTCATGCCGTGTAGCCGATAACATACCAGTGAGTCATAGGTTTTATCTTGGATTTAACAAATATTCTGCCGCTTGTCATCTCTGGTTTTCCCGTAATGTAGCTGTAAACATTTCCACCCAGGGGGAAGGGGGGCATGTGCCGGTTTTCCCTCTGGACTCTCAGGGTCTGGAAGAAAACTCCCAGAATTATGTGTTCTGGAAAAGCAGCGGCCAGCTTATATCATAGTTTCCATAAGGATCTGTTCCCGCAGGAAGTGGCTTGCTCTCAAGAGTGTGTGAAGTTGACCTCTTTACTAGCTAGAGTCCCTGTCGTCTGTACACTGTATAGAGTTTCTCTTGATAATCAGACATTTCAACAGCAACCAAAAAGTTGATTGCAGAGCTGCAGCACTCTTATAAATCACTCCCCCGATCTAATGTGACAGAACCAACTGGGGGTGTTTCAGGTTGTCACCGTTGGAAGTTTCATAAAAGGGACAAACCAATTTTTTTTTCTCACTCTTCACATCACATGGACACAAATGTGGCTCTCTGATGGGAGAGCATAGGAAAAGGTTGGATATCTAATCTTAATTCCTTTTCTCTAACCCAAATTACCCCACATCAACCTAACCCTTTTTCAAGCACAGAGCCTCCTTAACGCAGCAACACAGGTTTTCAGCATCCAAGGGGAGGTACGGACCTCTTCCGCCACGTCAACACCAAGCAACTCTCAAAGCCAGCGTTTCTGCTTAGGATTGCGAAATTTGCTTTGGTTTCTTTTTCTTACCTCCAACTTTCCTTTCTTGTAGGCCAACAATCCTGTATGCAGGTTTAGTTATGGCCATGTATTTGGGTTTTTTTCCTTTGTGGTTGATGCCCCTCCAGTGTATTGGGTTAATTACCACTATACAGCTTTGGTTGCCCCCTTTTTACCCTGAATTGTATAAAAGAATGGACTCTAGCCTTTGAAATGTCAGTGCAGAGTTCCTACATCCTTTTTCTTTGTTTTATTGTTTTGTTTTTTTGGGGTTTTTTTGTTTTTGAGTTTGCTCTTGCACTGGCCATGAGTCACATAGTCTGAGAATTCTCTCAGTAGATCCAAATTTCCAAACCGATTTTTTATTTTTTTTTAATTCATCATTTGTTTCTTAGACATGTCAGCACCCATTGATTTAAAACTCCGACTGAAGATCTGAAATTCTTAAAGTCTTAGTTAGCTATAGGGAGCCTGTGTGATTGTTAATGGCAGAGCTCCACTTCTAGAAAGGTATCAATGATGTCTTTCTTGTCTTTTGTCTGCCGTTTTCAGGTCTCCCTCGCCGGAGCCCATCTACAACAGCGAGGGTAAACGGTTAAACACCCGCGAGTATCGCACACGAAAGAAGATTGAGGAGGAGCGTCACTCCCTCATCACTGAGATGGTTGGACTCAACCCTGATTTCAAACCTCCCGCAGACTATAAGTAGGATTTATTCCTTTGTTTTCCACTAACCAGCTCTTGTTTTTTGGCTGTGCTAATTTACCTAATAAAAAAAGCCAGTGGCTGTCCAAGTTGACTTATTATTATTATTATTAGTTGTAAAATGATGATCATAGTAGTCTAAAATCTGAAATTGTAAAATGTGAATATTTTTCAAGTTGGTTAGAAATGTGATTTTAACGTGGCAAACTGTGTTTGTTAGTCTTTGGACAGTCTTTCCATCACCAGCACTGGTTTGGTCAGAATAAACCCTTTATTCACTAAGTAAGATGTGAATTTACCCACAAACGTTAATCCTTCGGGACAAAGGCACCGATCAAAGTACGTCCACTAAAAGTAGATCCCTACAGAGATAGACCTTTTTGTTTAACCAAAAACAGTCCTAATATTGCTATCACTGACCACCAGACTCCATAGACAAAAACAGTAATGTTACCCACATCATTAACTAACATCATTGTATTATTATAACTTCACAGACACAAAATACTGCACAAAAAGAATAGTCTGCACTACTTACAGCATTATGGAGCAAAGCTTCAAATGTTTGTTTGTTTTTTCTGAATTTCTGATGATCAGAATCTCCAGAGTACTGGTTAAGTTCCTGCAGTAGAAAAGGGCTAATGGATGTTGATATAAAGATCTATATGGTGTAATGATGTTGATTAAAATATCTACTGTGGCTTTTAAGAGAATCAGAAATCGTTGCTCCTATTAAATGCTTATCTCTTATCTTTCATGTAGGCCTCCAGCCACCAGAGTCAATGACAAAGTTATGATCCCCCAAGATGAATACCCTGAAATCAACTTTGTTGGGCTCCTAATTGGACCACGGTAAGTTGGACCTAATATTACTGTCATGTTCTATGTTTTATATACTTTTATAAGCAAGTAAGGACACAGTTCAGCACAGTTAAGTGAGTTTGGGTTCTCACTTTTTCTCCTCTTTGGTTTTACCAGTGGCAATACGCTGAAGAACATTGAGAAGGAGTGTTGCGCCAAGATCATGATTCGGGGCAAGGGTTCTGTGAAGGAAGGGAAGGTAGGCCGAAAGGATGGACAGATGCTGCCTGGGGAAGATGAGCCTCTTCATGCCCTGGTCACCGCCAATACGATGGAGAACGTCAAGAAAGCCGTGGAGCAGGTTAGATACCCTCAGCTGTTCTGATGCATCACACTCCTATTGGACGTTCCATCTGGGCTTGGCTTGTTACACTGAAGTGACCTGATTTGAAGTTTTGTTGCTATATGTTTCCAGTGTGTCTTTGGGGCAGCTCTATGTGCAGTGTATTAATGGTGAGAAATGTGTCCACAGATTCGCAACATTCTGAAGCAAGGCATTGAGACACCTGAGGATCAGAATGACCTACGAAAAATGCAGCTGAGAGAGCTTGCCAGACTCAATGGCACCCTGAGGGAAGACGACAACAGGTCAGTGTGACAGTGCTAGAGCTTTATGCACAGTTCAGTGTTAATGTGGTGATGACTGTATGGGCATTGGAGAAGTCCATTCTACTCAATGTAAGCTACAGAGCGCGCTGAAGGCAGAACGTTTGTCTCTGCAGGATCCTTCGTCCTTGGCAGAATGCTGAGCCCCGCAGCATCACCAACACCACCCTCTGTACCAAGTGTGGTGGAGCAGGCCACATCTCCTCTGACTGCAAGTACACCAGGTGATGATCAGTTCACTACAGTCTCTTTTACTAGTACAGTGTTGTCTTTTTGTAACTAATGATTTCTGTTTTTCTTTGTGCAGCTCGTTCGCTGCCCACAGAGCGACAGGAGGTGAGCCTCCTCAGTCGGCACAGGACAAGGCTCGCATGGACAAGGAGTATCTGTCCCTTATGGCCGAGCTGGGGGAGGCTCCAGTCCCCACTTCTGGTGGAGGACACTCTAGCACCCAGGGAGGAGGGCCTCGGTCCTCGGGACCCAACAATAACCAGCCACCACCGGTTAGTTATCAGCACAACTGCACAATTCATACCTCCTGTTGGTGTAGAAAGTTGTCTTAAATTACTGATGACTGTCTGTGCAGCAGAATCGGCCCCCCTGGATGAGCTCTGGACCTACTGAGAACAGGAACTTCCACGGCATGCATGGAGGGCATGGTAGCCACGGAGGACCCCACAACTTCCCTCCTCCCATGCCCAACATGGGAGGCCCCCCTATGCCCCCCAACCCCAACGGCCTGCCTCCCCCCTGGATGCAGCCACCTCCTCCTCCCATGGGCCAGGGTCCAGGACCTCACGGACACCCCATGGGTAAGAGCTGACGTTTAAGGGTTCTGGAAGTTTTTAAAAGCCTGATGCAGTCACTCAAATATTCACTGTGCTCCTCAGTAACTCAACGTCGATATCATCCAGTGCAACTTAAACGTCTAGAGGAAATCATTATCTTTGATGTCCATAACAAATAAATAACCATAAGTTTTCTGCAGTGATAGTTGTCTGTACATCCATAGATACACTGCAGTCAGGAACTGCTAACCGCTAATTCAGCATACTTTTAATGGCAGCAACTTGCCTAAATGTAACCAAATATAGACTTTAAAAAACATTGTAGAATACCAGTACCTGTCCGTAGCTGACAGTACAACAGCCCTTTTGATGAGCTTTTGTCGGGTCTTGCTCACCTGATGGCTTATTTTTTCTGTAATATTGGTTTCCAAATAGGCCTACATTTTGATGTAAGCATGTTGTGGCTAAAGTGATTGACTTCCTCTCATCAAACGTCAAAGAATCAAATGTCACTCTGAACTGAAAGATCTGAAACTGAACTGGCTGGTCCTGCTGGTCAGACTTTATTTTTTGTTCAAAGACAAACAGCAGGTAAATGCTGCTGTAATTATTACTGGGGTGGGGCTAAAAAAATGACCCACATACTTTCTCTTGACAGGAGTAAAATCACTGACAGATAATGTTAAAATCCCCCCCCCCATAGAGAAATATATAGAGTCCAAATGAAATCTTTTACCAGTATCTGTCTCTAAAGTTCCAAGTGGACCAAAGGAAAGTATTTAGATTATGATACTGAGACATCATCTCCTCAAGCCCTGGAAAGCTCTTGAAATACTGCAGACAGGAGCAACCTTGTAGTGAAAACTAACTGCTGTGAAGCTCGTCAGTTTGGCATTATAAATAATAACCTCAAATCTGCACGAGACCAACTTGTTCCTGTGTAGAAAAGTAGAATAAACTGGAAGAAAAATGTCTGACTTTTGGTTTCCTTGTAGGCCTGCTGCCTCCTCCAATGGGCATGATGCCGCCACCACCTCCTCCTCCCAGCAACCAGCCACCTCCTCCCCCTTCTGGACCTCTTCCACCATGGCAACAGCAGGCTCCACCTCCCCCTCCCACCAGCAGCATGGCAACCAGCACACCACTGCCCTGGCAACAGAGTAAGAGCGCACAAAAACTGTATCCGTGTATATCCTGTATTGGTTTTGTAGCCCAAACCAATCCATCTTTCACTACTCTCACTACTCGATGTGCAAAGTTGTGTATAGTGGACAGTAAGATGGTAGAAACCAATTACACACTCCTTTGTTCTGTATGAAGAGCCCAGAGCGTCAGACGCTGGCAGGTTGAGTGACCCAAATACCAAACCATTTGAGTCAGGAGAATAATCAGCTGCTATTTGGAGTTTTTCCCCACTGCACTGCAGCTTGGGTCATCAAAGGTTAAATTGAGGTCAGGTCAGCTGGCTCTCCTATATCTGCTTATGGTTACTACAAATCCTCACTTATGTGTTTCTGCTTGAATGAAAACTCCCACAATCCTCTGCTACAAATCAGATAACATAACATATTTGGAGATGTGATTTTAGTAGAGTAGACATGGCAGGTAGCTGCCATATCACATTGGAGTTGATCAGTGATCATTGGGGGTGTGTGTGATATAATTTGAGGTGACAGTAAAGAGTTAACCCCCAGCTGTCCCACCCCCCTTCTTCCAGACACCACCACCACGTCCAGCCCTGGCACCGGCACCCTGCCTCCATGGCAGCAGCCCCAGCAGCCTGCAGCCTCCGGAGCCCAGCCCCCACCACCCATGGGTACCCCGTCCATGGTGCCGCCTCCTCCTGGCGTCCAGCCGCCACTGCCCCGGTGCCTCCTCCTCCACCCCCACAGACTCACTGGCAGCTCAACCAGCATGATGTATCCCCACCGCCACCGCCCGCCCCTACTAGACCCTTTCAAACTTGCCTCTACCATTCGACGGGGCCAGGGCCACCGGGCATCAGCCCTTTTGGCCATGCCAACGCCCCCCAGGCACTCTCCACCCCAGAATTAACCCTGCCACAGAAGAATCGTTTCCCCCCGCAGCACATTGTGGATGTGTGTGCACAGAAAAAAATATAACCAGTGCTTTATTTTTTATTGATCCTTGATATTGTGAAGACATCTCTGAAACAATGAAAGGCTGTGTCAGTTCAATTTGTAAAGTTGCGTAACTTAATGAGTTATTTTTCCTGTTTTTAAAGTTTGTATTAACACAAAGCTCCTTGTGTGCATACAAACACTGCTGCTCTCAGCCACATGTTCTGCATTGCTACCGTAGTTTGTCACGTTACTTGTATACCAAATAAACAGCTCAAATAGCCCGTCAGAACAGTCTCATCGCTTCCAATGTTCAACTCAGTCCTAAACACTTGACTATTATTGGATTTAATATATTGAAGTTCAGCATGCATGATCCATTGTAAACACCTCACTCACAAATTGATACTCCTGTCCTGTTCCCCATGTTGGCTTAGAGTTAAATAAGATTAATATTTTTGTAATAACGAGATGTGAAGTGTTTTCTTAGTTCTGTCAGAAAACCTTTTTGTAGTACTGTCTCAGATTGTTTTCCAGAAATTCCCAGGGTTTTAATTGTTTTTTTTCTTTTCTTACTTGCCTGCATCTCAGTTGTGACATTGAGTTTGAGAAGGGGGTTTGATGCTGCTAGCTTCTGACCTCCTGCACTACTTGACTGTTGAGAATCTGATGTATCCTTGTTTTTCTGCATCTCTCTGCTCTAATATGACGCTGTGTGCAGTGTTTGTGTTGCTTTTGCAAGGACAAAAATATTGCGTTTGTCCCTCAAGTTATTAGAGAAAAAAATGTTAGTTTTACTCTGTTTCTGGAATCGGTCTGTTGTGTTACGGCGCTAGCCTGAATGAATAGCTGTTGAAATTTTGCTTGGTTTAGCATTAAACTGATCCATTTCACCTTTTTGTCCGTGAGTACAGACTGGTTTCTCCTTTCATGGATGTGAGCGCCTTTGTGTCAGAATGCTTGCCAAGAATCTAGGCATGGCCCTTCTGGCTGCCTCATTCACATGTTACATAACCTGGTGTTGTCAAGGGTGTCCGCTGCCTCACAAACCTCCCAGGACGACTATGCTTAGGAAAAACATACATGTTTTTTAAAAGTTTATATACAGTTATATTTCTACTACTGACGTTCACAGCACATTTTTATGCGCCAAGTTTTATTTTGAAATTCCTGAGGGAACAGTGTTCTCTCTGCAGGACAGAAGCAACACACTTATCCATATTAAATCTAAATACATAGTGTTGTATTGGTAAAATAAACCAATGAATGGTATTCCATTTAAATAAATTACGCAATAATATTGGAAATTACATGTTCTGCTCTTAAAGAAAAAGGTCATTTCAGTTGCTTGGGGGAAAAGTAGTGGTATGTAGTATTTGAAAAAAATTTAACTCAAGGTCCCCTTACTAGATATGAACAAATACATTGTTCAGTTATGGAATTTTTATGTTACAATCCAAGCAAACTGTCCATTAAGACCGTAAGATGTGATTGAAGTGTGGAAAGCTCTAGAAAAAGAAAGTAAATTGAGCTTTAGATAGTTTTTACACTAGTGTTCAAGGCCAAGAATGAACTTAAATGTTTAATATTTGTGCTCACAAAATACATGTTAACATAGCATTACTCTAACTCAATGCATCTATGGTTGTAAAAATGCTCCGTGGGTTAAGAATGATTCAAATGTACATCTGGTACAGTTCCTTCCTGTCCTGCAAAGCAGTTCCGCACTGTGTTTATAGAGAACAATGTCAAGGCAACTAGATTAAGACCGGAAAGGATGTCATTTTGGTACTAAAATAAAGCAGCGTTTACAGGTGGTCTCCGCACATTTTACAAGCTAATTGACCAACATATTCGAAGAAAATGCAGTCTTAAACTCTTACTGATTGTTAAGCAGGGCATATCTGCAGTCTGGACCTAAATACCTCCTTTACCTGCTGTTTATGAAGGGAAATTAACCGTGTGACGCAGTTTTAAATCGTGTATTCCTCGTTCGCTGAGGCAAATTGGTTTTATTTTCAAAGTGCGTACCGGAAACGGTTTTCCTCCGTCCGTCTTGACGCTGAGCGCTTGACGTATAAAAGAGGCTGGACGGCTACCTCCCACCGGCTGTCTGTCTGCTGTCTGTGAAGAGGGGCGGGTAGGCTGCCGGGTTAACTCAACGCTCAGTAGAAAGTCACCAGAAGCCACCAGCAAACATGGCCAAGCCACTCACAGACCAGGACAAGAGGAAGCAGATCTCGGTCCGCGGACTAGCCGGGGTGGAGAACGTCGCGGACCTGAAAACTAATTTTAATCGGCACCTCCACTTTACCCTGGTGAAAGACCGGAACGTGGCCACCAAACGGGACTACTACTTTGCCCTGGCCAATACGGTCCGGGACTACCTGGTGGGCCGCTGGATCCGGACGCAGCAGCATTACTATGAGAAAGACCCGAAAGTAAGCAGCGGGGCCGGGGCTGGGGCCGCAGTCCTGCACGTACACACAGCTGACCTGGGAGCAGTGGGAGGGGACGCAGCGCTGCAGCAGCACAATTGATGGCCCCGCGTGCGCGTGTGTGTGCGTGCGCGTGTGATTGTGATTGTGCGCGCGAGCTCATTGCGGCGTTGCTCTGTATATCCTTTTATAGTAATGTTCCGGCTGCTCAGTCTTTACGCATATTGTGCGCTGAAACAGAGCTCGTGCAGCTCAGCGGGGAGTCCTGTCCCCACTGACATCCATCACAGCTGTCTGTTACATAACCTGCGGCTCGTGCGTCTGCGTCCGGCTCGGTAACCTTGGCGTGCGCACTGAGGGCGACGCTCGCGGCCTCACATTTAGTCAACCCTGTATTATCCCGCTCTGTGTGGAATTAGGACACTCAACTGGTTGCTGAAATGTGTGTTACGTAACGCCGTCCGTCCATCCCCATCAGTACACACTGCGCATCACAAAATGGCCACACACAGTTAAAAAGGGCAGATGAAGTGAGCCCCCCCAATAATTACTTCAACCCATCTACTTAATACCCAGCAGCACTCAGCTTCCTTGTTTTACTGCAACAGGAGGCTGGATGGAGAATTTAAAGAGCCATCGCCTGTATAATGAATAAGGCTGTACTGTGATCTGTGTCTGGTTAAACTTCACAGTTCATCCAGCTTGAAACTTATTGTTTGTGATGACTAATGCTCATTCATTGATTGGTCCATTGTTACAGCCTCAGTTTGTGCAGCCAGGCTTAGTTCAGCTGCGCACAACTTTATGTGATGGATGCATGGTCAAAAGCAGCTGACTGACTGTGCATGTGCTATTTTCTTTCATATGAACTAGTATGAAAAGTATACATTATTGATTTTAAATGAATTGTACCTAATGTAAACTATCATATAGAAGGGGAGGGTGCTGTAAACCTATTTCTGCTGTAAAGTTGGGCGTTTTAATATAGGGCCTTGTGGAGATTGACTCACTGCTGGAGACAGCCTCAAGTGGCAGCTCGCTTTAGCATCATATACCTTGGAACTTGTGTTTGATGAGCTGTTTGCTGTAACGCTAGGTCTAATCAGATAATTTAGACATTTTGTCTTAAAAAATTACTCATAACGACAAATAAATCATCAAAATAGTTGGCAGTTATTGTAATAGTTCATGACTAATGGTTGCAGCTCTAGTTCATACTATGTTTATTGCATCAAAAGCTTAATAATCCCACCACACAACAAACTTACATATTGTTAAAAACATGGACTGTCATTCGCAGGAAATCAGTGCAACCCTTGGACGAGCAGCACAGACCCTCCTCTCCTATTTATACTGACCGCTGAATGCCTTTGTCACATACTTTTTTTTTCCATGTCTGCTTTTTTATGTGACCTCCGCCATCAGTCAGCAGCAGGATCAAAAATGTCACATGGCACAAGGTCAGAGAGGGTGCCAAAATGTCAGCTAGGACATCCATAGTTTAACATATCCTGGTACAGTTGAAGCATTATCTACAGTATGTACTGTATGTTCATTCTGGAAGTCTGCGTCCACTTTGACACGCTCAGAGCTGTAAGGAGGCATTGTGCTGTGTTACCGCCGGGCTCGTGGTTTGATCCACTTCTCTGGGAAGTGTAAGAGATATTGTTGGAGGAGCTGCCAGTAATAGCCCTTCTGGTGTTGCCTCTGACAGCAGCTGTTGTTTTCTGCCAGAGATAATGTTGCCCAAGGGACACCAAATGGAGAACATTTGTTTTATTATTAATGTCCTCCTGAGAATGTGTGCATCAAGTTTTAGTGCACTATTTTGAATCTTTTTCATCCTCTTACATTTGAGACTAAACTATGGCAAATGTTTTTGTATGGAGATAAAGATCCCCACAAGACATGTATTAAAGCTGCAGTAGGTAACTTTTATGAAAATAACTTTCTGTCATAATCACTGAAACATGACAGAAAGTTGACAGTAGAACATGAGACAGATAATCTGTGAAAAAATCCGGTTCCTCTGGCTCCTCCTAGTGCTCCTAATGGTACTTGCAAGAATCCACTGGGCCAAAATGAAAACAACCAATGAGAGCCGAGAAAGATGGGAAAGACGCTTTGGACTGTTGGCTTGAAGATAAGACCTGTTGAATCTCATTCCCAGCACTGATATTTGACAGCCTGAGAATGAAACACTTTCTTGGCTCTGATTGGTTGTTTTGATCCAGGCCCAGTATTCTTGCAAATACCATAAGGAGCACAAGGAGGAGTCAGAGGAACCTGATTTTATTTTTTATTTTTTTATTTTATTTTTCACAGATTATCTGTCTCTTGTACTACTGTCAGGATATAGTAAAACATGTTTCAGCAAATATGAAATAATATGACATTTCTTATAAAATTATACTGCAGCTTTAAGACATGTATACAACAGTCTGCTTGGAACAATAATGTGTGTCTTATATGTTTTTTTTACCTGCAAGAAATCTGCGTCTACCCCCTACTCATTAAAATTTCCAGAATCTCTGAATATGCAAATGTTGTTAGTTTTCCTGCTGGACACAAGGTGCCTCCTCCTTCACTGTAAAGTCCATTCTCAGTGGATGTGAACTGGTGGCTTCAGGTTTTCACACTGTACAAGTTGCATACTGGACCAGGACTGAAGGGACTTTTGTCACCCTTTTATAAGTTGTTTTTCTCTGTTTTCTTTCAGCGTGTCTACTACCTCTCCCTGGAGTTTTACATGGGCCGGACTCTGCAGAACACCATGGTTAACCTGGCTTTGGAGAACGCCTGCGATGAAGCCACATACCAGGTGAGGTAAAGGATTGGGGGACAGGCAGGGATGATGGACGTTTACCCAAACCAGCCTATAGATAGATGGATAGATGGATGGATAGATAGATGGATGGATACATACATACATACATACATGTTCCGCAGTACGAATGTGTTGATGTGTTTCTCAGCTGGGTCTGGACATGGAGGAGCTGCAGGACATCGAGGAAGATGCTGGTCTAGGCAACGGCGGGCTGGGTCGTCTGGCTGGTGAGCTCCTGCCTCCTCCTGATTGGCTGCTGATAGACAGTGGTGTTTAGTCCTGTGGACAGCCTTGTCTCAAGCACATACCCCCCACCCCCCTTGTTGTTTTCCCCAGCGTGTTTCCTAGACTCCATGGCCTCTCTGGGTCTGGCTGCTTATGGATACGGCATCCGCTATGAGTTTGGCATCTTCAATCAGAAAATCGTAAACGGCTGGCAGGTATGTTCCTGCTGTACTTGGGTCTGTAGTTAAACCTGCTTTAGATCACGATCCACTGAAAACATGGTAATTGAAAGTCTAATGTAGACACACTAAGTTTGGATGCCTTACCCTACCTAAATGGTTGACTCCGCTCTTTGGCATGAGCTTGACTTTAAAGATTTCACTTTTTTTTTTTTTAACAGAAGAGGTCCTCTGTACTTCCCTGAAATCTGAGTCGACTGTCCTTGCAGAGACAGTTACTGAACCTAACACAAGTCATGTAGCTCAGAGAGAGTAAACTTCCCTCCACCATTTATCCAAATATTTGGTGCAAGAAATGTTTGGAATTAATGGAACACTGATATTGGTAAAGGTAGTTTCCAGAACTTCATACTAAAGTTGAACTTTGAAAACATTCAAGGCTTAGCCCTAAGCTAGATTGGAGATTTTCTTTCCCATTTATGGCAGTTCTGTACGTCATTTGGGAAAAACATAAACACAAACAAACAAACAAACAAACAAAAATCGTCCAGAAGAGAATACAACTTTTCTTGTACCTCTTCATCATTCTGAAACCAGAACACAGCAAATGTTGAGGATGACTGATTTTTGCTCCTGCCACCTAACAAGAGCCCCCTCATGAAAAACTTTGTCCATATATAGTCCATAAGCTAGCTAGCTAACTTGCTTGCGTGGTGACACGATTGATTGAAACCCAGCACCCACAAAGCCTGAAAGATTTGGGGCTCTGGTAGCTCACCTGATAGAGTTGGCACCCAATGTACCAAGGCTGCAGCATCCATCGGTTCAACTCAGACCTGTGGCCCTTTGCTGCGTGTCAGCCCAGCTCTCTCTCATCATAATAATAATAAATAATAATAATAATAATAATTTACTATCCATATTCCCCAAAGATAAATGATCCAAACAAGTCAATACTTGATTACTAGATTTTTAAATTATAAGTCATACCAAAATTTACCAGCATGTAAAGACCTGCACTGTTCTGCATTCATTATTAGAATACTTAAAACTGATCCACTCGTTGTGTACCCAAACCTAGCAAACACTAGTAGTGTGCCGACACTGGTGACAAGTGCAAAGCATTTCCTGTATCTGCTTCTCAACGAAAGACTTTGATTTGCCTATGTAAAACCTTTAATATGAAACAAGAGAACCAGGATTTGAATTAGCAGTACACAACAGACACAGTCCTCATACAGCTCTAGGAGCTCATCCTGATCAGTGAAAATAAACAAATGAGCTTTCAAGTAAAATACTTAATTTCAATTTCTCTGAAACTTTCACTATATCCTGACAGTAGTAGATGAGACAGATCTGTGATCTGTGAAAAAAATCAGGTTCCTCCAGCTCCTCCTAGTGCTCCTAATGGTATTTGTGAGAATCCACCAGGCCTGTACGAAAACAACCAATCAGAGCCAAGAAAGATAAAAAGATCCTTGAAGGCTTGAAGATAGTTGGAGTCTCATTCCCAGCGTTGGTATTTGACATCCTGAGAATGAGACTCAACAATCAACCATCTTTCTTGGCTCTGATTGGTTGTTTTTGTTCAGGCCCGGCATTTACAATGCAAAATACAGTACCAATAGGTAATAGGCCGGTGTTGGGGCACATTCGAGATCATCCCAGTGACATGTCTCCACAGGTGGAAGAAGCTGACGACTGGCTACGTTATGGTAACCCCTGGGAGAAGGCTCGCCCTGAGTACATGCGCCCGGTCCACTTCTACGGGAGAGTGGAGCACACAGCCGACGGAGTGAAGTGGGTCGACACACAGGTTAGCAGGAACAGACGCACATCTGACACCAGGGCTGACCTAGAAAATAGTCACCCAATGCATCTAATGCTAGATACTGCTTATGAGGTCAGATTTAATTCAAGTATTAAAGGATATAAAAAATTATGATAATTGTTGTATAAATATGTGACATGTAAAGGGGCCGTTCACCTCTAAGTCAAAAGTTTATATTTTTCCACAACACAGAGAATCATGGAATAATAGCACTGTGTATATAATGTACATTTTGATGTGATTTTGATCCAGGTGGTCCTGGCTCTTCCCTATGACACCCCAGTCCCCGGCTACAGGAACAACATCGTCAACACCATGAGACTGTGGTCCGCTAAGGCCCCGTGTGACTTTAACCTCAAAGACTGTGAGTACTGCCATCTGTACTGCTAAACAACCATCATACTGAACACAATTAGTGTTGCATAATGAGAAGAAACTATGAAGAATGTGATCATGACTGACTGCTGTGGTCCCACAGTTAACGTCGGCGGCTACATTCAGGCTGTGCTGGACAGAAACCTGGCCGAGAACATCTCCAGGGTTCTGTACCCCAACGACAACGTGAGTGGATTAATTGGTGTACACCAATTCAATTTTATTTGTATAGCGCTAATTCATAACAGAAGTTATCTCAGGTCATCCCGTTTATTCCATCTTGGGTTTGTTTTTGTAAGTTTGGCATCCAGTGCATGGTAGCATTGTAACCTCCAGAAACTCAGATGGTCAATAGAGTCAACAGTTTATCCAGACTGTCCAGTTAACCACTTTATTTGGAGGTATAGCTGAGGATGAGATGCTGGCTTTAACAGCTTTACACTGTCTTTGTTGGTCAGTTCTTCGAAGGGAAGGAGCTGCGTCTGAAGCAGGAGTACTTTGTCGTAGCAGCAACTCTTCAAGACATCATCCGTCGATTCAAAGCCTCCAAGTTTGGCTCTACAGAGTTTGTGCGTCTTGACCTTTCTACACTGCCAGACAAGGTGAGAGATATATGTAAATATCAAATTTATGATATGGTATGATATGTTACAGATTGCAGTGTATTTGATAGTTTTATGCTAAATCTTTGTTACCTTTTGGAAATCTAGATTTTGATGATGATCACATTACCCTTTTAGATCACAGCAGGTTTTATGATTGCTGTGTTTGGTTGTGTGTGTGTGTGTGTGTGTTGTGTGTGTGTGTGGCGTTTGCGCAACACTTTGGATTCCCAGTTGTTTCTGCTCTCCTGAACATGGTACAACTATACTATTCTTTGTGTTCGTCTGTCTGTGGTCTGGCAGGTGGCCATTCCCAGCTGAATGACCCCACCCTGCTATGGCCATCCTGAGCTGATAGGATCCTGGTGGACATGGAGAAACTCAGCTGGAGATACGGTACAGCCGCAGGCCCTCAGTATCGCTTAAAACAAAAGAGCTTGTTGGATCATGCTTCCCAGCATTTCCGCGCAAAAAACCTAAGAGTTAGTCGTTAGTTAGTGATGTACTGCCGGCTCCAGAGTTTTGGTTACTTTGAGAACGCTCCCTACCCTCTCTACAGTGATAGGCAGGGGAAGGCAGGTCTACAAAGTGTGAGGTCAATGACTCCACACTCACTCCATGCTACTCCACCAATGCAAAAAAAAGTGTAACTGCTGCAGTTTTAACCGATTTGTCAGCTTGTGTAGGCAATTCTGTTCTTTGCATCCTTCAGCGGTGCAGTCACAATGACACGGCAGGCACATCCGACCACAGCAGCATGACTCATCATGAGTCGAAGCTGAAGTCAGGACTGTGACAGAATGTTAGCGCAAATGAACTTGCCAATATAGTTAATATACATATGTTTTAATGTTAACATATACACATTTAAATTCATGGTGACGTTTTCAGCATGAGTTCTGAGATAGATGTGAGTATGTTGATAATGTCTCTGGGTCCCATCCTCTCTGTGTGCGCCTGGACATTGTGGTTCGTACTGTGCCTACACCAACCACACCCGTCCTGCCCCGAAGCCTGGAGCGCTTGGCCCATCGACTCCTTCCCAAAACCTCCTGCCTCGTCACCGACCTGGAGATAATCTACGAGATCGAACCGGAGGCACTGGAGGTATGAGGCTGAGTGTAAAAGTTTGTTGAAGCATTTTTAGCATAAGGTGATATGTTGTAGAGCTTGAGCGCACTGACTGAGACTCAAAGTCTTCAAGGCTGCCTGCTCTGTAATGTCTACTGAGAACATCTGTCTTTTTGTCCCCACCCAGCGCATCACC